CCCCCGTGCTTTATAGAAGACATATAATTGGTTCAAATATAGCAAAAGACATCAAAAGAAACTGGAGACAGACTTGGGATGTCCACTGAGACACGTCCTCACCTGTGTTGGACACATGTCCTCACCTGTGTTGGACACATGTCCTCACCTGTGTTGGACATGTGTCCTCACCTGTGTTGGACACACGTCCCCACCTGTGTTGGACACGCGTCCTCACCTGTGTTGGACACATATCCTCACCTGTGTTGGACACACGTCCTCACCTGTGTTGGACACGTGTCCTCACCTGTGTTGGACACATGTCCTCACCTGTGTTGGACACGTGTCCTCACCTGTGTTGGACATGTCCTCACCTGTGTTGGACACGTGTCCTCACCTGTGTTGGACACATGTCCTCACCTGTGTTGGACACACGTCCTCACCTGTGTTGGACACACGTCCTCACCTGTGTTGGACACATGTCCTCACTTGTGTTGGTTGAGGACACATGTCCTCACCTGTGTTGGACACATGTCCTCACCTGTGTTGGACACGCATCCTCACCTGTGTTGGACACATGTCCTCACCTGTGTTGGACACATGTCCTCACCTGTGTTGGACACATGTCCTCACCTGTGTTGGACACATGTCCTCACCTGCATAGTGGTCAAACACGGTGGGGACATACTCCTCGGGGAACGCGTCGTTAGCGTAGCTCATCAGGAGACATGTCTTGCCCACGGCTCCGTCTCCCACCACGACGCATTTTAACATGATGGTTCCGGTTCCGGTCGCCATGATGATCCGGACCGAAGCAGCACATCATCAGCAGCGGCTGCCCGGCCTCCAGCTGCTGCTGTCGGCTCTGGGTGGAGACCTCCCGCCGGGCATCACAAGCCTCGCAGGCCGACGGAGCGGAGCTCTGAGTCGGACTGGAGCAGCATCTGTGTCCCGCTCCTCCCCACCGACCGGACCGGACTGGACTGGACCGGACCGTCCTCCTGGACCCGGTAGAATGAGTTCCTCTGTTTAAAATCGGTCCCAGAAGGTCCTGGATCAGTTTCAGTCTGACTCGAACCTGTTTGTGGACCCCAGAGTCCCACAGCCGCTCTCACCGCCTCGCACGTCTGACTGCTGACGGTGGGCGGGGTCAGCTCGGCAGGAAGGCGGGGCTTAGATTTAAAAACCTGCCAGCTGTTTGAAAATGACGTCATGGGAACTGAGGACTTGAACCACTGAAATAAAATGGAACAGCAAATTAATAAATAAATGTTAACAAATGTTAACAAATCTTGTTTTTATAATCAAAAGTTATTTATTTATTTTTACCTGCCTTAAKAGACTTCTTATTGAATGTTTGTTCTTTCGAAAAATTATCCAAACATTTATTTTGTCACCTTATATGCAGTATTATATAAAATATTGAGAAATTGTATGTAACAAAACCTTTCAACCCACTTTATAACTTATTTTGGTATCTGTTTTGACATGTTGTATAAAATTGAAGTAAAAATGTTTCTTTCACAGATTTGTTGTAGTATATTTACAGATTTGCAAATATGCCATTTTGTACAGTTTGTTTACTTTCTGATTAAACTGTTTGTTGTTTGAAATATGTTTGGTGAATATAAATATAGTTTTTATGAGCTTTTAGCCAAGATTCTTAGCTTTCTATTGATACCAAACATGTCCAGGTTCAACTGACAGATCTGAAGTTAAAAGAAGTTAAAAAGAAAACAGAAAACCATCCAGACTTTTGAGGCCCTCATAGCGCCCCCTGGGGGCACCCACTTTGGGAACTCAGGATTAGGAAACAGTTCTAGGAAACAGAGAGCTCCGCTCTCACTGGAGCTTCCTTCCATAGATGGTTTAGGCATGGTTAGACATGGTTAGACATGGTTAGACATGGTTAGACATGGTTAGACATGGTTAGACATGGTTAGACATGGTTA